TGAGCCAGAGGTCCCTGATTCTGCTCCTGTGGTCACAGCTCATCAGAGAGACCATCTGACCCAAGGCTGCCCTTGAGTCGCCAGGTTAGCGGCTTGTCGCTGAACTGGGTGGCCACTTCTCCATCCGCCGCTGCGGCGAGTTTTAGACCGCAGGTGCCAAGTGTCCTGTAGTTTGCCCTTTTTTGGGGGGGGGCAGGAGCTGAGCCTTTTATTGGGCTGAGGTCAGAGGAAGTGCAGGCAGCCCTACTCTCCTCATCAATGTTTCATGCTCCTCCTGCAGCCGGGAGGCGCTGAGTCGCGGCCTCCCTGATGCTTTTTGGCAGCAGATGTCAGCAGAGCTCCCCCATCTACTGGTTGGTGGGTCCCAGTGGGTGTCTGGGGAGGGGACACAGCTTTCCCTTCTGTCTTCTCAGAGGTGGTATGGAGGGAGACAGAGAGACAGAGAGACAATGGCGGAGAGAGACGGGGCAGAAACAGACGAGCAGACAGAGCAGAGAAAGAGCGGCCTGAGTGAGCACACTGCGGTCGCGTTCCCTGCGTGGAGCGGCGCCGCCCGCCCTGGGCCCACGCGGGGAGAGTATGTCCCAGCAGAGACTCACTGGAGCCCAGGGGGCCCGAGGCTTCCTGCAGGTAACAAACGGCAGTGTCGCACCTTCAGTTCCTTTCGGCTCCTCTCACTGCGGTGGAGCTGCCGCTCCAGATCACCACTGCAGACACAGGCGGGCGTCGCCATTTGCTGGCAGGAGGTTCTTCTCTTACCAGAGAGTACTGTGGGTCGCGTTGACTGGGCTGTGGAAGTCTGGCGGCCCGGGCCACACCCGATGCCCTTGTCCCACTTGTTAGAGCTCATGTCCCACTGTTGGGAGTCACCCACTGGCCTGTGATGCTCTGAAGAGGAAGTCCACCTTCATCATTGCGGCCTTCGTCCTGGCGCACAGGAGGCGCCCATCACACAGCTGTCCAGTGAGGGGGACACCAGGGAGACAAATATGACCCTCGTTCGTGTGGCCTCTGGGGTCCCGGCTCTGGCATCTGGACGGAACCATGAAGTTTATACAGGTTGGTTCTGTAAGACCACGGCAGATGGGCACAGGGCAGGGTCAGCAGGTTACAGCCCTGCAATGCATTCAACGCCCTGTGCCCCGCGTTTTGGTACAACCAGGAGGGCAGTATACACGGAATCTCACGACCGTCTCCTCAGAGATCGTCTGCACCGTTCCCTCGTGTGCCAGACACGAGGGTGCAGAGCGTGTGGATTGACAAAACGCCCCCCATTCGTCGCTGCCTGCACTTACTGCGCACAGGCGTCCGCTCCCCAGTCCTGCACTCCTATCTCCCTGACCCCCTGACCCCTGTTCATTCACTTCTTTTAAGCAAAGTTGGGTAGAAGTAGACTAGACATTGAAAACGGGGTCGTGGTGTTCAGGAGAGGCTTACTCGGCTGGCTTCGGACCACGGGCCCCAGTTTTAACCTCTCCGCAGTTTTTTCGCGTCTCTCTCCCTCTGCAACTCGGACACGACCTTCCATCAGTTTCAGAAATGGTGAATTAGGCCTGTATGCAAAAGATGATTCCCCGCTATTTTGCTATACATGAACTCTTCTCACATGTGGTTTTGTGGCTGTGCCTGCTGACCGGATGGATACTAGTAATATTCTGAAGTGGGAATCGTAAACGGGAGTTGTGGCCTCTGGGGTGCTCAATCGCCCTGACACGGTCAGGGTCTGGTGACTTTCGTCCAGCTTTCTGGAGTACTTGCTTGTTGTTTTCTGATTGCAGCATAACGGAAGAAGAGACCTGAAATTATACAAGAATGCCTCAAAGAACACCCCGTGTTTATTTCACCCTGTTTTTATTGCTACTGATAAGACTTATGGAGACCCTCATTTATCTTACACTTGAGGCCCCAGTACATGAAGCTACCTAATTCTTAGTCTTTTCATTAGTTTGAATCCGTATTTCTTGTATTTTTTAAAATTATAAATGCTAGTACTGAGAAATGAGCCACAGACCCAGAGTTCACTGCGAGATTGCCGGCCAGCCCAGCTCTGAGGGGCAGCGGCAGGTTGTCTGCCCGGAGCTGACCCGATGGGCCTGGCCAGTGGATAGTTGCAGGGTGATGAACGGATGAAGGAGTGAGTGAGAACAGTGTGCGTTATGTAACATCTGGTAAGTCACCCGATGGTCATGCTTGTTGGTAACTGACTCTCCCCAGCAGGGTGAGGCCAGAAGCTTTGTTCATGGCTGTGTGCCAAGCACTGGCCACAATGCCCGGCTCACAGAACCCATTCTGCAGGTATTTCTTGAACAGTTAACAACTCTGAGGCTGTAGCCACAAATTACACTCGCTCACTTCCGCCAGACAGCTCTTAAATGTATTTCTTTGGTTGTAAAGGGAACTGGGAGAAATAATTTCGGATGTGTTAAAGGACGAGAAGGGAGGGCTCGCTGTCCCCAGCCCTGGTACACAGATGCTGTCTGCCCACAAGAGCCGTCGCCGGGAATGTGTGAAAGCAGCTCCAAAATTGGGTTAATTCTTTTTAAAAAAATGTTTTCTATCTCTTTATTGCGCCTCTCATTTTGTTCTTGTATTGTTTTCTGATTTCATTAAGTAGTTTATCTGAGCATCGTTAGAACGATCATTTCCCACTTTTGTTGGTGGTTTTAGGGTCTCCAGCACTTCGGGGTCCCTTACTGGATTCTGACTTTGTGGCCCCTGTGTAGGAGTGTGTGCACTGGAGGAATCAGCCACCTTTCCAGACTTTATTGACTGAGTTCAGGGAGGAAAGAAAGGGCCTTCACGTGCCCGCAGGGTTACTCTGGAAGGCGCTCTGGCCTGGCCCCAGCGGTGCAGGGCGCCGTGTGCCTGAGTGTGTGGCTGTGGGGGTTCTGCAGAAGCTGCAGGTCTCTGGGCTCCCCCAGCTGCCGGGACCAGGGCTGGCAGCCGCGGTGGCTGGAGCCAGGGCTGTGGGCGCACCGGGCCGTGGAGGCCAGCTCTGCAGGCCTGTAGAGCCTGTGGGCAGGCTGCATGGTGGGGGTTGGGGGCAGGGCCAGCAGCTAGGGCTGGGGTCAGCTGTGGGTGCCCTGACAGCTTCAAGGGCTCTTCTGGACGTCTCCATGAAGAACCACGTCTGCTGGTTCTCACCACGGGGACACAGCAGTGGAGGCTGGTGTCAGGCCGGGGGCATGCAGGTGCACTGCTGGCCGGGCTGGCTGCAGGTAAGCCCGGTGGTGCAGGCCAGTGACAGAAGAGAGGGCAGATCTGGGTCCCAGGGAGTGGCAGGGGTCCTGGCCCTTGGTGTGCTCTCCGGTGGCTGTTTGTTCTCCACAGGCATGTGCATATGGCAACGGAAGACAGTGATGGAGGTGGCATCTGGGAGGGACGGGGGGAGGGAGGCCCATGGTGTGCACTCGACAGTGGAGGCTAGTGGGGCAGCCTGAACGCACACAGCGGTGGAGTCAGCTGGGCGGGTGCCGGACACTGGGCGGACTGGGTGGGAGGGGGCACCGTGGGACTCAGGCAGCTGGCATCAGTGATGGGGAGTGCTTGTGACCCCAAAGTGGTGAAACCAGAGGGGCGCCTGTAGCGGCCCTGCTGGCCTTTCCCTTGCTCAGGGACAAAAGCTGCTGGGGTCATGGCAGAGCAGGGCCTTGGGAGCCTGCGTCACTCCCCTGTGTGGCTGCCTCTGCTTTTCTTCCGAGTCTGCACATCTCAGCTTTGCCAGTCTGGGTGGGGTGGAAGCACAGTGGGCCCTCTGCGCTGTGCCCTGAAGCCCGGGAAGCTGGTCGCTCCCTCTGGCACCCTGAGCCCTGCTGGCCTGGGGGCGGGGCGAGCTGGTGCGGCTCTTGGAAGCGGTTGTTCCGGGGTTTTGTCCCATGGGGCTGCTCGAGCTCCTTCAGGGGACGCCAGACTTACTTGTGCACGGCCGTCTCATCGTTGCTCTTTGATGGGGCACGACGGCTGGGCCCTTATTCCCCTACTGGGCCACGTGGTTGACGACACTCCGCCCCCATCGACGGGAGTCAGAGCCTCGTTGGGGTTTCCTTCCCGGATTGTAGCTCCTCCACGCTGTGCGGGGCTTTTTGTTGTTGTTGTTAGATGTTCCACACATGTTCCATATTCCAGAATTTGTCCCAAATTCTGCTTAATCGATAGCTAACTTTTCCCATTTGCTGTACTATTTTGGGTGTGTTCCATTCGTGTATCTTCTGCCCTCTAGTGGCTGGGTCTGGGGAGGCAACAGCAGTCGTTGCGTGCGCCCATTTGCTCACCCTTTGACTCTGAGGCAAGGCGCTCAGGTCTGAATGTCGTGCTGGTTAACTCAGTGGCCCTTTAACAGCATTGAACACCCAGTGACCCAAAGCCAGTTGGTCTGTGCGGAGCAGGCGAGCGAGATACGCGGCAGCTCAGTCCCTGACCCTCTGGGGACTGTCGGCAGGGCAGGTGGTGATGCCCCAGGGCTGCCATCACACCCACACCGTCACCTGTCCTGTGTGCAGGCAGCAGGATTAGACAGAAGAGCCCGGCCCAGCCCACCCGGCCGGGGAAGCCCTTGCAGAGATGGGGGACCAGCAGGCGAAGACGTAGAGCCACCAGCGTGGTCCACGCACAGCAGCGCAGCCACAGCCCAGGGGTCTTCTTAGCGCGCGAGCAGCGGGGCTATGGCTTCAGTGATGGCATTTACTGTTAGTATGTCTTAAAACGGGGTGATCTAGAGTCAGAAAACGATTACGCATGTCTGGAATGAGCTACGGAGAAACGAAGTCACTACCGTTAAGGACAGTGACGCACTAACTGGCACACTAAAGAACACATTTTCTAATTCTACATCAGATATGCAGTTTAAATTACTTTCAAACGGTCTCCCACATAATCTCACAACCATCCTATAAAGTGGGGAGGTGCAGAATTATCCACACCCTCATTTGAGCCATGGATCAGCTAAGGGCCTTGCCCAGGTCACCTGACCACGGTCTCATTTCGGTGCCACCGCTGCTTACCTGGGTTGGGGACCTCTCACTTCTGAGCCATGTAACTTGGTGTCTCCTGGTTCTGGGCAGTAACCACATCTTCTCACTGGAAACTGAGTCAAACCGGTTTGGTTTCAGTTGTTCTTATCCCCAGTTTGACCTGCAAAATGTGGTTATTTATATTCAAAATCACTCATACACTTACAGAGATTTCAGTTTGTGTGTGTGTGTTTTTAAGAGATCGACAAATGGAAACATTTTCCTCTGGTTCTGGCTGTGATGTAAGGACAATTAAATGTCACCATTGTCTACCTTCTGGATATGGCAATCTGGAAGCTGAGGCGGCCCGGTCTGGCTTTGTTTTATAATTCACCTTTGATTGTGGTGCACGTGGAATGTTTTTGAGTGTGCGTAGAGTCTCCCAGTCCCATGCTCAGCTCTTCCGTGTATAAATAGAACGCTATCTTAACAGTAATTACAAGTGAGTGACTAACCCCACAGAGGGCTAAACCGCTTCTCCTTCATCCAAGTGGGTTTTGCTGTGTCACGGGGACAGTGGTCAAGGACAGCGGGGCGAGCCTCCCCCACAGTGTCGTCCGTCACCCCACACTGGGCCCTGGACCATTGTCCTGAGGTCCGATCCAGCTTCTGCTCCCCAACTCAGCTGCCCCTGAGCTATGAGGTATGAACAGCTCTGTCTTCCCCAGGCAGGGTTCAGAGTGAGGACTGGGAGGGTCCTGAGTGACACCTCAGGACCAGGGGGGCCCAGGACTGGGAGTCCGAGGACTGCCTCCTGCCTGGGCTCACCCCTTTCTCTCCCGTGCAGGAAGCTCTGTGGAGAAGGTTCTGGCTGATCCCACTTTGGCCAGTGTCTCCACCCCCTGACGGGCTGTCTGGTACATCGGTGGGAACCTAGTAACTCCCGGGAGCCAGGCACCCCATTGAATAGGCCCCAGCTGCTGAGTGGATGTTTAGGCTGTTCTTAACCTTGATGGCTGTGTCATTGTGCCTGCTCTGCCCCCAAGACTCCAGTATACCTCCGGCGCTGTGGCTTGCTAGGATGCCTGGGCCTTTGAAGTGAGCTTCCATGGCCTCTTGGTGTTCCCGGCACCACATTGCTGGTACCAAACCTCACCTGTGTGTGTATGTCAGGTTCTGTTGAAGGTGAGACAGAACCTATCAACGATGGCAGAACTATAGTGACAACTGCCATGTACTGAGTATCAGCGCTATGCCAAACATACTACCCGTGCTTATCATACATCTCCTCATTTAATTCTTGCAACAGACTCATGAGGTAAGAATTCCCCTCCTCCTTTGCAGTTGAAGAAGCAGGCTCAGTCAGTTGAGGCAATCTGCGGGAACACGTAGTGACTAAGTGTGAGCTGCACTCCAACCCAGGTCCACGAGAAGCCACGCTCACACCCTCAGCTGTTGAGACGTGCTGACTTTCCACAGGGTTTGGGGCCGCCTTCCTCCCCCCAACTACCTTTTCCGGAGACTCAGGAGGTAGGAGGTGTGGGTCACGTGAGCATAACTTCCTTTGTCTCATTTGCATTATATTTTTGAGAATAGCAGGTCTTTGCTTACTTATTTATTTTTAGTATTTTCAAAGCACCTGGCTCAGTGCAGAGCACATAGTGGGTCCATAGTAGAGACTGAGAAATTATTGGTAGAGTCATGTTTCATAAACATAGTAGTGACAGTAGGGACAGTGGGACCCAGCTCAGCTTCGTCCCTGAATCTGGTACCATTGGCAAAACAAGTCCTTGACGGCACAGTAGCGACTGTGAACTTGGCAGTGCAGGTCCTGCTGTCTGCAAACGGTGTTCAGCCCACAACAGCCCTTCACATGCTGACATCTTGCCCTCCATAAACATTACTTTTTTAGAACGAGTTCTTAATTCCTACATCCCTTAGTTTATCACTAGTTCCTTAAGAAAACAATGCATCCTCGTTCTCCAGTCACAGGATGACGACTCAGACCAGGGATGTGGGCCGTGTTCAGGGCAGCTGCTGGACGCCGGGCGCGGGCCCTGTAGGACTGGGGCCAGCAGGCCACAGGAAGGTGGCCCGTCCCCCGCTGCTGACCGTGGCCCTGCACCCTGTCCCCTGGGGTCTGCCATCGCCCGAGCAACCATGAAAATGTCATTCATTCCACAAGCTCTAGGAGCACAGGGTCCGGGCACTCTACTGTTGTCTTAATGTAGAGACAAAAGTGTGGAAATAACTGCAGCCTGGCGGAAATGGCTCTCCCGGCAGACAGCTCCGCCTGGAGAGCAGAGGAACGAAACCAGGATGAAGAGCTCAGGAGTAACAAGGGGGCTCGGGTTTATTGAAAAGCCCTAAACCACTATGTCCAGCAAATTGGTGGCTGTGCAATCAACACTTGTGGAATGAACAGGTGAAAAATGTGACAAAACTGCTGAAAATTTTAGGAATTTTAAAGGAAAACTCCTACTTCTTGGATCTGACTACAGGTTTCAGGATGGGGATTTAGTGGGTTGTATAGCATCCCCCTGAAAGTCGTGTCCACCCAGAACCCCAGAATGCGACCTTATTTGGAAATGCACCTTTGCAGAGGTAACTAGTTAGCGACCTCAGTGTGGGGCCGCTCCGATTCAGGGTGGATGCTGTACCCCGTGACTGGTGTCCTTCTAGGAAGAGGACACAGACAGACACAGCAAGGAGTGCTGCGTGATAACCTTGTGAAGAGAGGCAGGGATTAGAATTATGCTGTCATGAGCCAAGGGACACCAGGAGCTGGAAAAGGCCAGGGTGGGTCCCCCCTGGAGACTTTGGAGGGAGCACAGCCTGCCGACCCCTTGACTTCAGACTTCCAGCCTCCTGATGTGTGAGACAACACATTTCTGTTGTTTGAAATGCTTACTTTTGGGTAGTTGGCTATAGTAGCCCTTAGAAATCAGTACAGTGTGACATTTAGGGTTAATGCTGTTTCCTTATTTGCTCTGTAGTCAAAGGGCATGTCAGGAACCCCCAGGGTGTGTGGGAAGTGAAGGACTTATAACAATGATGGTCAGGAAAGATAATCCCTCTTCAGCTCATTCGGAGGAGCTTCTCTCTCTTTTGGCCAACTTTTTCCTACAGGCACAGCTGCTCAGTGATGCAGACGTCACAGCAGGACAAACAGTCGGAAGTCCAGAGGGACGGGCTAGGACAGCGGGGTTCTGGTTAGGGAGCCGACCCGAGTCTGGATGGGGAGGCCTCAGGAGCCCAGTCAGAAAAGTAATTGTTTCTTAGAAAGAAGAAATTAAATTGCCCGGCATGAGAAAGTGAGGAGAACATGCAGTTTTTTCAGTTGGTCTCAAGGAAAGAAAGAGAGGGGATCTTGGGAAAACAGAGAGAAGGTGACAAATGAAGGCGTCCGGAGGTGAGAAGGAGAGGGGGGAGGGAGGGGGAGGGGTGGGGGAGGGGTGGGGAGGGGAGGGGAGGGAAAGGGAGACGGAGGGAAGGACGGAGAGAAGGGGCGGGTTTCTTATTCCAGTCTGACAATCTTGGCTTTAATTGAAAAGTTTAGACCATTTACATTTAGTGTAATTAGCAATAAGTTTGGGTTTAAACCACCATCTTGCAATTTGTTTTGCTTGTCCCATTATTTTTGTTTCTGTTTTTTCTTATTTCTGCCTGTTTTTGATTCACTGAGCATTTTTATTGTATATTTTTATTATTTTATTTCTTTTTTGCTTATTAGCTGTATTAACTAATGAATTTATTGTAGTTGCTCTAGGATTGGAAAGATAGGTCTTTAACAAATCCCAGTCCAAACCTTCAAGGCATACACCACCGTCTCATATCGGGGCGGAGCCCCACCAGGTGTCACCGCCATCACTCCACGATGCAGAGTAGTCAACCATCACTTAAAGAAATTTAAAAATATAAAATAAGAAAAGCATTTTTACTACACAAAAAGTCAAATCACATGATAGCCTTGCTTAAAACTTTCCAACAGGCCCTGGCTGGCGTGGCCCAGTGGATTGAGCGCCGGTCTGCGAACCAAAGAGTTGCTGGTTTGATTCCTACTCAGGGCATATGCCTGGGTTTCAGGCCAGGACCCCAGTAGGGGGCATGTGAGAGGCAACCACACATTGATGTTTCTTTCTCTCTCCGTCCCTTCCCTTCTCTCCAAAAATAAATAAGTACATAAAACCTTTAAACCCCCCCAAAGAACCTCTTTAACAGTGTCCTGTTGCACTTTGAGTAAGATCCAAAGTCAACAGGCTCCACAAGTTCAGGCTAGTTTGAGAGAGAATATGTTTCCAGCATCTGGTTCCACGCTCATGTCATGAAAAAGTCTCAAAAAGTTGGTGGCTGGTTTCATTAGTGAGTTAATTTTTATGTCAGTGAAATTTACATGTCTGGAAGACGAATCAATTAACCTGAATGAGTGCCCGGCAATAGAAACTCCCTCCCTTCCTCCCGACTTTTCTTCGTCCTCCCCCTCCTGCTTTGGCCTTTCAGAGAACTCGCGTGCGCACGGGAACACATGGGCTGTTTGTCAGAGAACACGACCTTTCGGTTTTTAACGTAGCCCTTACACTTGCCTTGTGTTTTTAATAACGTGTTTGGAACACGCAGGGATTTCCTGCAGGTTACTAGCTCTTTTTTACTGCTCTCTTTACTGCCAGGTTCCCAGGCCGAGGCTGCCGGGGTCTGTCTTCAGAACTCGGAATGTAACTGCGCCCTGATTACTGTCACTCGCAGCTCCCCAGCACCTGTTTCCACCAGGCCGGCGGACAGACACTCTGTCTCCTTCTGCGCGGGCGCCTGGCCACGGGTTTTATCTGGCCCCTGGTCTGCGCCAGTGCCAGGTGGGGCTTGCCGCCAGTCTGCGTGGGCCACCCAAGTTCCCCATTGTCACCGACTGACCCATCGTGCCCTCTCCCCAGGGCTGCCGGCCTCCTTGCTGGGTCTTTGAGCCGCACCGCTGGGCGAGGTGTTACCCTTGAGGTGCCGCTCTGCCCCCTGGGAAGTCTGGCCCTTCCCACTCTCGTGCTGAACTGAAGAGCACAGACATCCTTGGCCCTCAGGACTTGCCCCTCCCCCTCCAGCAGCCCCCACTCACCCGCTTCCAGGAGAGGTGCTGGTTTGCACAGTGGCTCACTTGTTCCTTCTTTCGG